GGTACCCTTGAGCAGCTTGTGCTCCACAGGCTTCTCTCTGCAAAGTCTGCAAGAAATAAAAGAGAAAATCAAAACTACTGGTACTAGCATTAATTTTGTCCCATAAAAGTCCATATCTGCCACAAGAAAAGGTCTAATTTAAAACACAGAATGTGAATAAAAGTAGTTTTTCATAATTAATAGAACCATAGATGCTTTCTTCAGCGATAAAAATGCTTATAGCAGAAAGAGGGATATGAAAGCATAATCCTGCAACAAAAATGTGTTCTCAAATCTGTATGCTGACTTTTATAGTGTGAATTCTAATTACGACCATGAGGCCTGAGCAAACTGGAAAGGCAGTTAAAACTAATTTGCTTCCCACTGGCATAGAGCAGGGTGTCCACTGCTGTGGCTCATCTGGTAACTCAGCGCTTACACTGAGCTGATCGCTTGCAGTCCCTCTGCACTGCCTTTAATAACTAGCAGACATAAAACATGTTGTGTGCAACTAACAGCAGGAGTAAATCACTGCAAGTAGAAAGAACATGTGGTTATAAATTACTCTGTAAATAATTCATGGAACAAGCAAAAAGTGAAGCCTGAACTTCTGCTTCTCTCAGATTAGTATTTCTTCAGTCCCTCTGAAGTAAAATGTAAAGATCCGGATAACCCAATATCCATCTGTTTATTTATATTCACATCCTCCTAATGACTTTTTCTTAATTAGAAAAAAGAACAATTATTTCTTCATTTGCAGTACAAGAATGTTTGCTTTCTACACACTACAGATTGCTTTATGAACTCCTTCTACTGTGCGAATATGGAACAAGGGCGAAGTTAAATGATTCTCTCCGTTACAAATTGGCCTCACAGTAACATCACCATAACAAAGAGGTGTGAACTGCACCAGGAGGGAAGAAAAAACATCTGAGCTACTAAACCCTTAAATCTCAGAGATAACCTTACATAATATATTGCAAGAAGATTGCAACAGAAAGGTTGATAATCAGAAATAACGTAATTAACTGAAAAATACTGGAGGCACAGGGAAAAAGAGGGGAAAAAGGAAAGCATGCAAAACAGGCAGAGACAAACTCTGCATATGCTTCAAGCTTAAAACGTACAGTCTTGATCTGACCCAAAAGCTGTGCAGTTTGTCAATGTTTTACTAACCTCAAGCTAAAAAATCTGGGTTGATTAGCTCTGGACTGAAAACATGCTCAGAGCCAGAGCTGGCTCATCTCTGGTGAGCTTCTAAGTCTCAGGTATGGAGAAATGCTGTAATGTCCTACAGCCCTCAGCTTTATCACATACTTACTGAGTGAACACCATTTGAAAATTGGTATTTGAAAACCAGCTTATGAAAAGTTCCTTGTATCTATCATTTCTAGGAAGGGAACTGGGCACATCAACGGCCATTGCTCCATCCTGCCGAGAAAGAAAACTCTGGATCCACAGAATCACAGAACAACGGAACATTCCGAGTTGGAAGGGACCCACAGGGATGATGGAGTCCTGGACATAACGTAGATGTCTGTGAACCCCAGTCATTACACTGTGGAACTAAAAAGTCACCGACAAAGCCTATGATTGGTTTATGTACTGTACATACTGCACAGAAATAACAATAATAATAAATTTGACAAGCAAAAAGTCCTGAACTGGTGCAAAATAGCCAATCTTTATAGATCTTAATGAGATCATTCTGGCTAACATGAGCTGCATCCAGCATTCAGTCTCTTCTTATGCCAGGAAAGGTTCTCAGTTGCAGAAGCCAGATGTGTTTGGTTTGGGACTCAGACCCTACACTTTCATCAATCAATAAATAATAATAAATTATGAATTACAGATGTCCCACTACTTATTTTAAAAAATGTTTCCTGCAAAATTATCAAATTACAGACAAAGCATTACAACTGACAGCTATCCACAATTTAAAAGCAGACAAACATTCTGTTGCATAATTTGACCTCATTTGGTAGTCATTCATTCAAATCAGTGATTTCATTCATTCAAATCAGTGATTTGACTGAATAAGGAGGTACAACACTTCTCTCTAAGTTTACTGATATTTTATTAAAAAATAAATAAAATCCCTTCTTATTATACAGGAAAGGAAAAGAAGCAAGCCAATATTCAACATGCTTTACATAATTTTAATACTCCCATTAATTCCACCTAACTAGTCTCCTTTTTCAATCAATTTATTGTCTTAGTTTCTGTTAGGATAAGGAATGCATAAATTGTTCTCCAAAAATTAAAAGCCTGTTGTAAAAGATTCTAGCACTAGAGCGGGGATTAACCCCAGAGCACAAAGAGAGAAAAGATACAAAGGAAAACTGATGTTCTGCTTTGTGCTAAGGAAGAACAAGTTCACCCTGTGCACATTCACTTGAGACTGAGCTGCCCTTTTGTGCACTTCTGCAGGTCCTCTGCTGACCGTCCTTTATAACTTGCATTATACGAAGGTGCAGAGAACTGGATTAAAATATTTTAAAATAAGTTCAATAGAAAATAACATTCTGAATACCTGCAAACACCTGGATGCAATCTGTAGATGCAGAACAGTGAGTAGTTCAGGCCATCAAGCACCAACTGTGAGCAGCACTCTGCCAACCCTCCTAAAAGGTCACTCTCACCTCATTGCCTACCTGCCTTTTGACAGAACAATTTGCTTCTCTTTATGTTGTTTAGGAAGAGAGATTTTACTGAAACACAGCATCTTCTACAGAACCCAAATGCACACACTGTAAAGAACATGAAATGTAACCCTACTGCTCATTTAGGGTACATTTCCCCCCACGGCTCTGCTGTCTCCCTTCCCCAGGACAAATGGAGATGTTACAGACAGATATCAGAAACTTAAGGATCTTTAAGGACAAGAGAGTTTATCCTCATTAGCATTGCTCATTTCACACCTTATTTCACTTGGATGAATGGCTCTCATGATTTATTTCACCAGAAGTTCCCGAGTTCTGGTGAGGACATGCAGAGATTTTCTGGGAGATGAAATATGGGATACAAACTTAGCAATCCATTCCCAAGTAAGAACCGCTGCAAGCAAGAACGTAACTTCTCTGCTGCTTTACTTTTTAATCATTGTGCCATCTCCAGTCATCCATGAGGCTGAGTCTCATCGATGGCACGGTTGCCTCCTGTGCATTTAAACCAGCTTTAAATCATGTGTTCATTAGGTCGTTTGCTATGCCTTGGTTTGTTACTGCCACAGAATACGCATAAATGTTGGGTGATGTTATGTGGTTATTACTGACAATAATAAAAAAAATATGTAGACAGATAAATCATTCAGGAAGTACATTTTTTCCCTCTGGGAAAGTGGTATGCGTGAGATCTCCTTATGCTGAACTCACTGAAATGCAGAACAGTAAGCCAGCTAATGACAAAAAGGATTAGAACAATCCTACACCTGGTTTTCAGCTCTACAGGCCTTCCTTTGCAGAGACAAATTTATTTTTAATCTCACCTTAACAATGCTCATCAGGATGGATTTTCCTCTATGAATATTTAACTCCCAGAGTTACTTCTTAGTTACCAGCAGCCCCTTTCTGTGGCACCCCTTCCTTAGCTGCACACTTCACACTACGAGCAGAAGCCAGCTGAAGGAACTGCAACTAGTTAACATGTAAACTTTCTGATGCATATAGCCTCAAATCCAGACAAAACACACAGATGCATACGTTCGGAATGATTTCCCTCAGAAAAGCTGCCCAATTTCTCCTTCCATCCTGCAGCCCTTCAGCTGCAGGTCACAATGATGTTCTTCTTTAGCGGAAATGCTGCGCCGTTTCGATTCCTTTCTTCTGGGAAAGGGGTGAATTGTTTTTGATCAGACTTTCACCCTCTTTTATTTTTTTAAAACAAAGTCACCTTTGAAAGCAGCTTTTGAGAAGCATAGCACTAATAGGCTTAAGTTTCAAACAGTTCCTGGTTACGGAAACAGGAGGTCAGAACCTAAGGACTTGGAGGCATCGTTCAACGCATGGGTGAAAATCTTCAGCTAGGTGGAGGTAACATAACACTTTGTTACTTTTTGAGAAGGAAAAAGAAGACTGGCTCACAAAATGCAAAATTCTGGAATAAATGCCCTTTTGCCCTGTAAGTCTTTCTCACCTCTTCACACAGCAAATCACCTTTCAGAATACTGTGAAACCTCTGTTTCACAACAGGGGCAAAAGTGGTGGAGCCCATTTTTAAGAATTCTTTCTACAACCTGAAAAGTGAACAGAAGGGAAGGCAGGTACTTGTTATGCCTCTGAAAACAAACCAGTGTTCATTTAAAAGACTGGTGATAGTGATGCTTCACTACCACTTCAGAAGATTCTAGTGTTGAAAGCGATTACGACATTGTTCCTCAAAGTGCGCGAGCTTTAACTAAAACACAAATATTTTGTGGCTTGCCAGGGTTAAAAAGAAACAGAGTATGGTGGCAGACCTCCACGCCTGGTGGCTTGCTTGCAGCCTCTCATATTCTAAACAGCAGAACAGACCTTGTTCTTCCAATAGTTCAGAAATAGTAGTTCATCAGACTCTGAGATGGTGCTAAAAATCCACCAAAACAAATGGGATTGCAGTTTATACAGAGATTATACCCACAGCACGAAACTCATAGTAAGGCCTAAACTGAGCTAGATGATCAAATTCTTAATCAATAAAAGACAAACTAATTTCAAGAGCCGGTAGAAGGAATACGATGCTAACAAGGATCCCTATGGGTAATGAAATGGAGAATCTTCAAAGCCATTTTCAAGTCAAGCCTCACAAACACACTGACCTGCACCAACAGACTGCGGTTCACCCTGTTCTCTGCTTTGGTTTGTTGTTTGTTTTTGTTTTTTTAAATTGGCCAAAGTGATTCAATAACACTGGTGAAAACAGGATGGTCATCTTAGTTTTTTCATCTAAAACCAGTAACTTTTAGAACAGTTTTTGCTTCTATTCATTTTGAATTTGGCAGTAAAAACTGAGCTTGCATGAGGTATATTTATAACAGATCCTACCTTGGCTTTCAGCTCAGCACAGATCTCCTGTTGCTTTTGTCTGTTAATAGCTGATTCCGCTTCTGCCTCCTGAGCAGCGGAGGCTTCAGCAACAGCCATCAGCGCCTTCAGGACGAATGCTTTCCTAGCTTGAGTCCAACTTAATATCAAGACTCTGCGTTGATTCTTAAAGAAATTGTAACGATCCCAAGCTTTCTCATGAGTAACCTAAAAAAAAAAGTAATGCATTTCAGACAAGCTTGAAAACTAAAAATCAATAAAATATTTTGCAAATCTTGAGTATCATTGGCATAATTACTGTATCTCCAATACCCGCGTGGAATCACAATCGAGAGCCTGAAAGTTATTCTGCCTGATGCTAGCTCTGCAGCAGCCTTCCAACACTAGCAGGCCATCCTAGCACTGCCATCCTTCCTGTTGTCTCCTCCACCACACAGCACTTCAGTATTCTGATATCCCACTGTTCTTTTCTGAACAGTACTTTTGGAACACAAATAAACAGAATGCTTTCTTAGAATACAAATGCTGTCATAGAATACATAAAATGCAAGTAGGTCTTTTCAATACATCATCAAAAATACCAAGCACTTTTAGTTAGATGAGGCTCATCATAGCAAATTATGACCTCCTATAGAGAAACAGAACACCATGTAAAGCAGTTGCATTGATGTACTACAGATGAGAATTAGCTTCACTTTTTCTTTCCCAATATGACACTTACAAACAGACTTTTAGCTTGCCAAGCAACTGCCATTAATAATACACAGTTTTTCATCTTAAATACTCCTTCTTTGATTTTAGTCAGTGAGGTTCCAAAGAACATTGAAGCTTCATACCGTTGACAGAAGCAGTGATGGGTGAGGCTGCATGGACTGCGGCATTAGAAACTTGAACCTGTCTTACATCCCCCAAAAATATGAACTACAAGGATGAATGTTCTAGAGATGGCCTTCTGCTCACAAACTTCTAGAGGCCCATTCCTGATGCTCCCTTCCAGGCTTTTAGCAGAAGACAAGAGGATGCTGACTCAGCTAGTGCCTGGCTCACAGGTTTCCCATGGGCTTGCAGCTGGTTGGAAATTAAATGTATCCCTCCCTCTGGAGCTCCTCTCTGCACAGCTGTTTATATGGTCACCTCATCAGAGGTTCACACAGCCATCACTGCTGCCTCAAACTCCGGTGAGCCTTGCTGGCAAGCAGCTAAACTACCCTAAGAAACTCCTGTACAAGAAAGGAGATGAGCAGGTTGCTCATCTAAAAGCAGGTCACTCTGATGACCTGCTGCTGAATCAAGCACCCACTGCTTGTCCAGTGACCCACTCTTCTTCAGAGAGAAGGAAGAAGAGAAGGTTCTAAGTTTAGTTAGTTATGCTAATGTAATAAACGTTCTAAGAATAGATTCTTAGTACTGTTCTAACGTTTCTGTACCTGTCATGACAATATAAACACTGCATTCAATGCGGAATTACGATTTTTAAATTTTAAATGCCCCCCCAAAGAATTAGAGAGGCCCATTAATAATGTCTATGGTGAAAAACGCACAAACACTGTACGAAGCACATCATTATTTAGCCCAGTTATCACATGCAAAAGTTCCAAAGTCCACAACAACTTCGCCGTCAATGAGGGCATGCCATAAATCTGTATCACTTCATTGTCACTGCTTTGTAGCAGGCACTCCTCAAATACAAGAAAGTAGATGGTCTAAAAATAAATGCAGAGGTAAAAAAAGACTCCAGCTTTCCCTGCGACGTCCTGAAGTATTCTGGCCTTGAACTGGGTTTCTCCATTACCCGCTATGTGCTTATTCACTGTGGAGTGTAAAAGGAATCAGCAATCAATTTGAAGCACATTATGAATATAAAAATAGCCTCTCCCTGAGAGCAGGAGATATCTTTCGCTCTTCCTGCTGTATATGTGCCACAAGCCAATTAAAATAACTATTCCTAGACGGTGTGACAGTGGTATACATCCTCATAAAAAATAAAAATAACAAGAGAAGCTGAACAGTGTGACATAGCTATAAAATGGTACAGCAAAGCAATGCTAGCAAACTAATTTTGTGAACTTGGCAGCAAGGGCTTGTGGAACTATAAAATCCCCACAGTGCATATTTTGAAGCCGCGATCAAGAAGTGAACGGCTTTCAAGTTCGTGGATTTTAAAGACAGGGACATCTCATCTTCACCGTGCAGAATAAAGCCAATAATTAAGAACTTACGAAAGAAAAACCTTTGCTAGGCATTTTTAATACAAACACTACCGGAAGCTTGCTGTAGGAATGCACACATTTGAGCTCTACTAACCAGTTCGTGCCTAGACTTGTGAGGAAGACATCTGTGCAGCATGTCAAGGTACAGAGTCCTTCTCTGCTGGAGATCACTCGGATACTGATTGATGACAGTCTGAAAAACCCACCGATCCTCTTCGTTCCAGTCAGTGTTCCTGCAGAAATCCAGAACAACTGGTAACTGTGCCCAGCCAGGCCTGTCCTGCTGCCCAGTGCCTCAGCTACTGCCTGCGGGATGCATCACACACCTCAGCCTGAGCTGCTAAGGACAAGGGCCTTAGCAGATACGTCCCTTAGCAATTTTACCTGAGATAGACCTGTGTTTCTCTTGTTCTCCACTCATTTTTTTTTTAACTTCTCATAAACTGTGTGAAATACCTGACAAACTATTTCCAAGACGCAGCTGTTTAATTTTAGATCCAGCACCATGAAAAGAAATGGAGGTGGTTTCAAAATGGGAGGGAGATAAGATCCAGCTCCTGTAAAAAGTTTATTTTCAATGACTGACAGCTACTGTGCAAGCTGGAGACAGCATTAAACAGGAAATAACTTCAGTATAGCAGACATTGTCTAGCAATTAAAGTGCTTCCTTATAGGCTACTCCTTAATTTTTCATGAAAGACAATGAATGCAGATTGCTGAGCGTATGGTGCTTTCATTTTCTAGGAATAAAGAAGAAATAGTGCCCAACAGAGTAAAAGGAATTAAGGAACCCACCAAAAAGGGAATGGCTGCAGCCCTGTAACTGCAAGGCTGGGCTGCGGGTCTCCAAGCCAAGAGCTCCTGAGCTGCCACAGAGAAGGCAATGAAAGCTGTGCTATTCCTGCAGCCTGTATGAAAGCTCATGATCCTCAGAAATGAGTGCTATAAACATCACCCCCCTCTTCTTTTCTCTAGAGAGTGCTTTCAATGAAATCAGTTCAGTTATTAATTTTAGAATCTGTGTCATAATTTGATATTTTGAGGTATAGGCATTCTGAAGAATAACTTTAATGAACAAATTAATTATCCTTTGCTATGACTTAAACCTCTTCAACTGCAACTGCTCCCATGGAGGCTTAACTGACTGCATTTCTTAAGATAACACAGCATTCGTTCCAATCATGCAGGTTGATGAACATCTAGACGTCTTTTGCCTACAGTAAAGCACATCCTGACCAGCAGACACTGCACTGCCCACCTGAGAGCAGGGGCCGGCACAGACCCTGCCTCAGAATGCCGGCCTGGTGCCCCCCATCTGCTGGGCACAAAGGTGTGCGAGGTTTTGCACCCACATTTGCCTCAGCCCTCTCACCTCCCTAAGGATCCCTCTGACTGTCCGCTGCTGTGATGGCAGCTAATGATGGGTGCTGTGTTGCTCACGAGCACGACAGAGGAATTGGGAGTTGTGGAAGATGGCCCAGGGAGCTAACAGCTGGAGCCACATGTGGGTTATTGGAAGCAGGGAAACACAGAAGTCTTGGTTTGTCAGCTGTGAAGAGATTTGGTCAGCTGTATACAGACAAATAGCTAAAGGAAACATGATCAGTCTGGTATATTTGCAACCATTACATGCACAGAGAATTAGAAAAATATCTAGCTTCAATAAATGCAAGATATTTTCTTAATTAAACTTCTGCAAAATTACATAAAACAAGACCTTATCTAAATGAAATTTGACATCCCTCTTTACGTCACTATTTAAGGTAGTGTGCTTCTTCAGCACCAGGATATTGGCAAACATTTACAAAGCTGATGGCACAACCCAATTTTTAAACATCCTTCTTGCTTTTCTTCTGTGTAATTCTGCTACCAGAAAACATTTCAATCTTGTTTCTGTTCCAGAACTGAAACATGGAGATGGTCTGACAGTCAGCAAGCCTGGGGCAGCTGCTTCCTTTGAAACAAATTTACCCAGGGTTAATCCCTGGCCTTATGCTTTTAAAGAACACAAAGGGACTTGGAAGGGAAGCTGCCCTATAATCCCCACACATCCTTTGCAATAGCTGGGACAACATAAACTTGATGCACTGATGTGTTGTGGAATCTGCAGATAGGCTGCAACAAGGATTCTATGATATGATCAGTGCCACCAAATGAGATGTTAACTCCCCTGGCCATCAATTATGTCATTGCTGATTGTTCCACCAGAAACATCCCGTTAATTGGCCTTAAAAAAGGGACCACGTTTACTCACCACAGTCCTAATATCCCTTTCATTGAAAGGATGTTGCTGAGGATATGGTGCTGAATATGTAATACGAAACCCATCTTTCAGCTATTTAAATAATTGAGATATCCTTGGAAGTTGTGGCAAAAATATAGTTGTGCTTAGAGAATCATCAGCTATAACGCATCAGTTCCAAGTCCACGATTTATGGGACAATTTAGAAGTTGGATTTTTCCCAAAAACAAAATCTGTGTTTCAGCAGAAATAAAGGAAGTGAATTTGACTGATCAAACATCATCATCCTATATTATGCTTGAAAAAAAATCTTCAGTTTCTAAAAGCAATAAACACTGAAACTGCTATAAATGTGCCACCTGCTGCTTTGTAAATGCTATAAAAATTGGAAAGATCAGGACAATTTTTAATAAGTATCATGTTATAACACCTAGGACTCTATAGTAATAATAAACTGGTTTCAGATAACAGTAGGAGAAGGCCCTACAAAATATCCAGGCAGTTTATATAAAAGATATGTAGATAACATCACTTTCTAGGGGATGCAACATCTTACACCTGTTTGAGCATTCCCACACTAATTTATCAGCAGTGGCAGGATATTTAAGCACTGCATTGCAAGAGCGTGTAGGAAAAGGGGGAGTTTAGATCACGTTTGTGATTGTTTTACCAATAAAACAGGTTTTTTTCTGCTCTCTCCAGTTTATTCTTCCCAGGCTCCAAATAATTCCTCTGGCCTTCCCACTCTTCACCTTCTTAAAACCTGGCATCATTTTAATCTGGGTGATATCAGTAAAGAACAAAAAGAAGCCAAGGCTGGTACAACAGATGCAACTCAGCACTCTCCTGGACTCAAGTTAGCTGGAGCAGGAAAGCTGATCTTTGCTCCCATTAGCATATTATATTTCTCAGCTACATATGACATTTCTAGTTATGTTACATTTCCAGATCATTATGAATATTTGTGTTCTTTCTACTTTTTCATTTACAGAAAAACCTCTCCTTCTTTAAACTATTCTTTATCTATATATATTCTTAATTTATTTATGATGATAATTAGTGCAGTGATCCAAAATTCTTTAAAAGACGAGACCTATTTATCAGCTTTATAGACAAAAGCATTTCAGCTCTGTGCAAACAGCTGCTGACGTTAGCCCCAGAGAGCTGGGCAGTGAGTCAACTGTTCTCTGCACCGAATAGAATAGTAAAGGAAACTGCGGAACCTGTAAATTGCAAAATACATTGAAGTCTGTGTTGTCCTCTGCAAAAGAAATCCAGAAGCAGATATCATTACCTATATATGATGTCTAGCTGTTGATCAATCTCTTGCAGCTTAGACCAGTATTCATTTGCAAGCTTACGGTATTCATTGATAACAAAGCTCCTCAAGTCTGGATAAGGGAACTTCAAAGACAGGAGATCTGAAGGAACTTCATGGAAAAGTCCGTTTTTCTCTTCAAAACCATGCACTATGGCCTGGGATGAAAAAATGATACTCAGCACACTACTCTGCATTATATTTTTTCTCCAACATCATTAACTACATTTATAAGGAAAAGCTTACTTCTATTTTGTAGTCTTGAAGCTCTCTTTCCAAAGCCAGACTTTCAAGGCCAAGAAATTCCAAAACTGTTTTCCACTGTTTCTTCACAGATTCGATCTATTTCATGAAATACATTACTGTTATTTCTTTATATTGTTGGAATATGAAATTTCTGAGTTAGAAACAAAAACTTGATTTCCAGTTTAACTCTGCTATGCTCTTACAGGTTTCAGTGAAACAGATTTGCACTGTGGCAAGTGCAGAACTTACTGAATACTTACTAAATAGTCTGAAAGTCAGCTTTAGCCTCAAAACATTGCATACAAAATAAATGCTAAGCAGCCCATGATCAGAAATCGGACAAATAATGATAAAATGCCAACCTGCTGTAACTTCTCAGCTAGACTGAATTTGTTTTTCAGAGATGAGTCTTCCGTGACGTAATGCTGCATTTCAGACAGCCAGAACTTCAGATTCTCTCTTAGTTGCCAGATAGGAGCCACAGCATCAGTTTGGTAAGCATCCCGCTCCTGGGACAATTTATGCTCTATGTGCAAATGAAACATAAAGCTTTCTAAAACACAAAGTATTATGCAGCACTGTGCTTCCTAAACCAATAACTGTCATGACCAGTATTTAAAAACTCAACAAGCAATGAAGATAATTTTGACTGCAATAAATAATCAATAAATGAATTGAAAATTCTTACCCAAGTCCCATATATCCAAAAAAAAGTCGTACTTATGACTTCCTTCATCAAGAAGAGCCTCTATTTCTGCTTCTGCTTTTTCCCTGCAAAACGGGAATGAGTTTGACAGAAGACTTGATTGATTTCTTAGTTCTTAAGTTTGCAAGAATGATAAACCTCAGACATTTCATTCATTAAGTAAAAAGGACTCTCCACGTGTGAAGGTACTAAGGGCAGGAGTTTGATGGGAGAGAGGTATGGAAGCCACCTTTCCTTCAGCAAAACATGCTGTAAGAGATCTGCTATATAGCATGCAAGCTGGTGGACATAAGGCAGCAAAGTTGTGGTTTGGGCAGCAAATTCTTTCTGAGAAAAGAACTGCATCAGGATACCAGAAGTATTCTTCCTGAGAATTCTGGGATAATAGCCATCGTTCAAAAGGCACGAAAACAGCTTCTGCAGCCTGTTGCCTCTTGTCCTGCCACTGCCCGGCACTGAAGAAAGCCCAGCACCACCCATTTGATTCTCACACTTCACGTATTCACAAGCACTGATCAGAGGCCCTCTCACTCTTCTCTTCTCCAGGTTGAAAAGCCCCAGGTCTCTCCGTTTACTTTTGCAGTGACCTGTGTGCATGCAGAACATCCACCTCGCTCTGCCCATTTTTAATCTGTTCTCTTTGCACCTGCAGACCCCTTTCAATGGCAGTCACAAACTCTTTTGCCTGCACAAAGATCTGTCTTCTCCTCCTAATGTCCCTTTCATCCCATGTGCCTCACAAGAATCTCTGCCATCTGATGTATTTATTTAACAATGAATTCCTCAGCTCCTACCTGTTCTCACTGAGTCTCTTATACTCTTGCCACCACACTCGGCAGTGCTGTTTCTGCAGCATTTGCTCTTTGCTAACTTTTGAAATTTGCTCCATTTTTTTGATCTGCAAGGCGATTAAGAGTGTCAGTATGTTTGGTACGTGAATATTGAATTTCTTCATATTGAAACTGAATTACAGAACAGAAAACATAACAGCTCTTTACAAAGCTGTTTTCTAAAGAATGAGGGGTAATTAATTTCCATGAAAACTTTTATTCCACTTCAAGTTGCAATTAAAATGAAAAATGAAAGAAGTGTAATCCGTTTTCTTCTTCTTTGCCTTCATATTCCTATTTCCCAGAGGATAAAGGGGGTGGGTGAGTAAGAGAAAGAAACAGCAACAAACTTTCTTACAGGTGGGAAGAAGATGTAAGAATGAAAGAACATCTCTGAAGAAAAATTACTTTAAAAATTGGTTACTGAAAAAGGGTGCTTTTCTAAATCCGTCCAATTAGAGATGCTCTGAATTTGTCTGCAGATTTCACAAAGGCATTGCTTCAACTTCATGGAGAACAGGAAGGAGTGCTTTCAGAGAGATGGAGTTACTTCTTAAAAATCCATCATGGGACAGTGGAGGAAGTAGCAGCCAGACATTCTGGCTAATCAACAGAGAAGAAAGAAGGAACGGAACACCCAGAAGACATTCGCTCCTCTCCTGCTACTTCTCTTCTTGCTTCCCACCACAGCTCCCTCTGTACCACCCAACCCCAGCACTCCCCAGCCAGCTGCTTCAAAACCCTGTTTGCAGAGGATGCCCTGATTCACCCAACCCCCTACCCTCCTCTTTGCTGTCAGATCCCATGCAGACCGTGAAAAGAAATATGATCACTGCATTAAAAACACGATAACACAAAAACATTAACATTAAAAAATACGTACCTTTAATTGAATTTTTCTGGATGCCATTTTTTCTGCTGCAGTGAGTTCACATAGACGTTTGTAGTCAATGGGTTTGTACTTCTGACTGCAAAGCATTCTCATAGGATTCACCAGATTTTCTAGTTATCACATAAAACATTTACAACCATGTCAAATTCTCAAGAAATATTTTAAGTATGAGCCAAAAAATGAAAGCATTATGCATAGAAATTAGAGACAGCACAATAAAAACATTAGAAGTTTTCATAACAGAGATTTGTAGGTGCTGAGTAGGAATCTGATATAAACATAAGCTAGATAAGATAGAAGCAGTAAGAAAAATTAACCATTTGTCTTTTCATAAATAGTAAAAGCAGTTATTTTTTTCTATGTGAACTAAAAGAATAATTCACTTCAAATAGAGTTTACTGGAATTTCAGTAACTTCTAACACAGAAATATTTAAGCTTCAATACAGGCATAATTATTACACCAACTGGAATACCACCTCAACATGTATTGTCTTGTATGAATTGATTAATAGGATTTTTTTTTAAAGAAAAGCTCTATAAATCAATACTTGAATGTAAACTGGGTCAGTCTCAGACACACTTCTCATCAAATCTCCAGCCACAAGAACAGCAAAACTTTCCTACAGAACTTCCTTAAAAAAAGCAAGGAAAGCATTCCGCTTAGCTCTTGTCACACTGGTGTGGTTCCGAATGCCCACCTTCTACCCATATCCCTATCCGATTTGTCTATCCCCATCACTATTTGAAAGGTTGTCTCAGTACTGAAAGTCTGTTGTCCAAAAACCTAGAGGAGGCAGCTGAGCTGAAAAAGCATTTGATAAAGCTTAATCAAGCTGGTCTTTCACCACACAGTGAAGCTAACTCACGCTTCTCCCTTCAATAGATCTCACAGAGGGAAAATTTCTTCCATTTTATCCTTCCTGTAATCTTTGTATGAACAACTCTTTTCCCCTGGTTTTTAGTCCTGTAGGAAGCATTGTTCATCTACTGTCTTTTGTTCCCCTAGATCCAGATTTGAAATCCTCTTCCCTAAGTTAGCAAGATTCTACATGAACACTTTTTCCCTGCTTTTGAGATTGGTTACAACTTTGTCCATCAGAGATTGTGTAGACTAGGTATTAGGAAGAAATTCTTTACTGTGAGGGTGACACAGAACAGGCTGCTCAGTGAGGCTGTGGATGTTAACCCCCCTGGAAGCACTCAAGGCCAGGCTGGATGGGGCTGTGAGCAGCCTGGGCTGCAGGGAGGTGTTCATGCCTGCAGCAGGAGTTGGAACGAGGTGATCTCAAATGTCCCTTCTGACCCAAAGCTTCTGACCCAAATGATTTGTGATTCTGTGTACCATCATTATGCATTCAAAGAAGGAAAATTTTAGCAGACGAACCCTTTGAACAAGTACACATTCAGTTCTTCCTCTTAAGCCAGTTAATTCTTCACTACTGCTCCTGAACCTTTAAATCACTGCCAGTCTGCAGTCATTTCAAGTAGCAGCATTGGTGTCCACTCTCAGAAGCAGCAGGACGCAGCAAGAGCCTCAGAGCATTTCTAAACGTAGCTAATTAAGGCTCCCTGCAGGCATTTCACCTGGGAGATAAGCCAGGTTTGCAATTTCATCCTGTCATACTCATCCAAAATGAATCAGTAACTGCTGCTGTTATCAATAACTGATACTAACTACTCTCAGAAGTCGTTAAATACAGCATAAATGGCATAAATCTCGTGATCTCAGAAATACACAGTTCTGCCTTCCAGCATTCCTGAACCTCACTTAATTCCAGGGTAGCCTACTATGGTGCAAGTAAGTGTCAGAACAAAGCTGGGACAGCCACCTTCCAGAGGAAATTACAACCCGCCTCTCTCCCTGCAGTGCCTGTTACAGCTGCTGCTGTTCTCATGCCACTGCTGACCTTCACCTGCTGACAGTGTCACCTTCTGATCAGGAATCAGAAGTTATTCTGAAATCATTTCACTAGCATGAAGCTCTCACGCCAGTTGTTCCAAATTGTTGTACAGATATCCAGGGTGAGGAACCCACCTGGGTGTCACGGTCAAAATTGCAATAGCCTGACCAGTATTCCTTGGCCTATAACAGCACTGTCATTCTCCTTAAGCCACTCGATGAAATTACAGCTTGGTGTCCCTGTTTAACAGCTGCCATTTACCATCAGCTTTTGAAACCCTGCTTTCTGTATGCCAGCTTGATTCCTTAGTGGGGTGTATCAAGCATAAGGGTGTGATCGAAAAAACAAACACATCTTTTTTGTTCTCTTTCTTTCTCATGATATTAAATGAGTGAAAAGGGTAGACAGCAAAAAGAATGGAAGAATAGGAAGAAAAATGTATCAGGACATACTGATGTAGGGGAAGCAACAGAGCTCAGTGCAGAAAGTGAGGAAAGGAGAAGGAGTCACCCCACTGGATGAACAGAAAAGAAACTGGAATGTTATTAAAAAAAAAAAGAAAAAGAAAAAAGCCCTGTTTTTTTTCAGTCTGACCACAGAGAAGTGCATCAGAGAAACACATAAAGGTTACACTTGGTGGTGCTCCTTCACATCTGCAAGGATCAGAAGGGATGGAAGACAGGGTCAATTCCCAAATCTCTCACCCCATGTCATTCACTTTTGCCTTTGCTTTTGATACGTTTTTTGCTTTGCCTTGTACATCTGAACCTTATGAATCTCCACTCGTAATCTTTATCAGCTTCTTTTACTGAAGACCTTCCTCTTCGAGGATATTTCTGAAGGCAATTAAATCTATTCATGTACAATTAACTCCAAAACGAGGTTGCTAGCATATCAGATGAAAACTTTACATTTAATATGTTCGTGTTGGATGTGCCTTCCGTCTTACAAATATAAAGATTCCTTTATGTACCTAATATGTACATATACATCCAAAAATATATACATACATATCCACATTAGTGAAAAATACTAAGCTAACATTTTTTCACGATTCTCTGTAATAAATACTGGCTAAACCTGAGATACAATTTTAATAGTGAACAAAAATACTTCAACATTTGCCCAGGTAATGTAAGGCTCAGCACTCAGACCTTCAGTAATTTCATGTGTAAGCTGGGAATTTTCATAGAATCAGAGAATGAGGTTTTCCTTCCCATTTTTTTTTTTTTTTTTTTTGGGGGGGGTATCTTTAATAGTGAAACTTGCTATTAAATGTCACTATAAACTTTTTTTTCCCATTCATCAGTAAGCACGCCATGGCTCAAAGCTGTATTTCTAGAGCACTGCAGAAGGACCCCATATAAAATCCTAAGGCAAGTCCTGAAAGCTATCTCACAACCCTCCTCCAAGCCTCTCCGAAGGATTCGCATTTGCTACATGCCCTACAGAAAATCTGACAGAATGACCCCACAGCTCTTTGTGGAAACATATTTTGCATTAAACATCAAAATACTGGAGCAGCTTCCATAAGTCACAGTTAAATCACATATTGCAGAAACTGTTCTATTTTTACAATTGAATTTATACACGACAGTGTACATACCAACATCACCAATCCTCTGAGCTGCAGACATTGTTCTGTGGCCTGCTTCACTTCTTTCTACGTGTTGTTTAGCATCTGTTGAGAAACAAGCATGTCTTGAGAACACCAGCACTGAGGGTGCTAAAAATACACATACAATAAACACACATTGATTTCCAAGAGGAGAGCACATATCAGAGTGAATGTGTAATTAGAAATTACACAAGTTCATCTTCCATTTTAAGAAAGATTTCACTTTTTTTGCTATCGTTCAAAAAATCTCTCATGTTATTTAGGGAGCAGCTGAGAAATGGAAACCAAACTGTGATTCATTTGATGGATCTGTGACACTGTTACCAAGTAGATCACTCATCCTTTATGCTTTTTGAAATGTATCTGTCCTACTGGTCCAAATGGAAGATTGCTTTTTTGAGCTGCTCTTTGATTTTTAGAAATGAAACCTGAAAGGCCTCTCTGATTTTGTACTTACATACTATAGTTTATATCTAGATCTCTTTGTACTCCTTCAAGAGCCTCTGCATTAACACCTGCCAATCCAACCCAGCTGTTTCAGTATTACTGGCTTAATTCTTAATAAGCAGTGAAGACAGACAATGTACATCAAGGGTCTACAGCACGCTGGGATCAGCCTCGCATTTACACTGCAGTCATAGAATCACCGAAG